AAAAAAAAAAAAAGAAACTGGGTAGAGAAAACAGAGGCAGCCTCCCACTCCAGTCCCACACGGGGGCCCTGACGGCAGCTGGTGTCCAGCCCTGGCCCCAGATGCTGGTCCCGCCTTGGGAGGGCAGGGCTGGTGCCGCAGGAACAGCAACATCCTAGGTGTGCCAGAGCGTGGCCTGTGTGGATGAAGACCTGGGGCCTGGGGAAGAGGCTGACAGGTCCTCTCCAGGTGGCCCTCATTACCACTCCAAGAGGACTCTGCTAGGTCCCGCTCTCCTCAGGCCACCCTGCGTAAACACAGGCCATCAGGATGACTGTCATCGTTCACAGTGAATCATGCTGGACCCCCAGGTGTGTGTGTGTGTGTGTGTGTGTGTGTGTGTGTGTGTTGGGTGGGGAGTGGGGGGAATTCCCAGTCAAGAAAGGGGGCATGGGAAAGAGCGTGGTGCTCACTGCACCTGTTCACGGGGCTCTGGAACTGTTAAGAAATACTTCCAAGGGGATCCCAATGGCTCCTCTGTCCCAAGCTAATGGCTGGTTCTCAGCAAATCTGCAGCCAGAGTGGAAGGCTTGGGACCTCTGAGAGCCAAGAACAACAGATCCCTTCCTTCTGCTCCCCTTCCGGTCCCCCAGAGCAGCTCCCACCCAGGCCACCAAGCTTCCTCCCCTGCAGCCCTTCTGCCTAGCCAGAGAGCGCAGAGATCGCGGAGTGACTCTGGGCGGGCTGCCTCCTCCCTGGAGCATCCCTGCCTTCAGGGTAGGGTCCTGGTTCGTGGAGGCGGCGCGCCCTCTGCAGGACTAACGTGCAAGTGCTGGTCCCACCGGAAGGGGGAAGTGGCTTATGGCAGAGGCTCTACCTTTGGGCTGTGGGAAGTCACAGGTCCTGGAGATCCCCTCTCTCCTGTGGCTACTGCTTTTTGGGTTAAAGAATAAATGATAGTGGGTGCACCCTACTCCTGCAGTGTCTTCCTGATAGCTATGGGTTCTCTGAGTTGATGTCTGCTGGACCAAACGCATTTATAGGCATCCGTACTATAATCCGTAAGGTAGGTATCTTGATTCCTAATTTATAAGTGAGGAAACAGAGGCTCAAAGAGGCTCATTGTTCAGGCTCACCCGACAACTGCCTGGAATCTGACTCTGGAGCCCACGGACTAAAGGGGTTCCCTCTGTGCCTGCATCGGGTGTGGCCTGGCCTTTTAGGAGGGAACCAGAGCTGTGAGTCTGGAGGCAGGCAGACAGCTCTGGAAGCCTTCACTGAAGGGACCGAGCTGAGGTGAGGGGGATGGGGAAGCGCAGAGGATCTGGGCCGTGGGGTAGGAGCGACCCCAGGCATTTCCGTGCTCTCCTGAGGAGACATGTGTCAGTGTCTCCGGAGCCCCAGTTAGCATGTGCTCTCTTCCCCGACACTCACCCCTCCTTCCCCACTCAACAAGGCAGGCTCATTCCTGTGTGTCACCCTGCCATCAGCTACAGGGGTCTCTGAGAACAGGGCCACTGCTGCCCCAAAAGGAGAGAACAAACTCACCCACTCACTTGGGTGTCACGCTTCCACCCATTTCATAAAGGAGAAAACTGAAGCTCAGTGGGGGCTGTGATTGCCCCAGCCACGGCTCATCCCTCAGGCCTGTCACCCTGCCTGAGTGGCACGGGGGTGTGTGGCTGAGTCTCTGCTGAGGAGAGAGGAGTCAGGAGTCCAGTCTCCCCAGCACAGCAGACCTTGTATCTCCCCTTCAAGTCCTCCTCTGCCCCCCTGCCTTTGTCGGACAGGCTCTTCAACACCCTCCCCTCCTGAGGTTAAGAGTTCTGAGAGCCTGCCTTCGCCAGCTTCCCCTCCCCATCGTCACCTTCTCTGTCACTTCAGCTCTCATCTCATATTGGCCACGACGATGACCATCACTGCCCTCCCACTCCACCCCTGCCTCTGTTACTTGCACCACGGCCGCCATCACAGCCGCCACCGTCCTTCCTCCCCGCACCGCCGTGCCCCTCCCCCCCGGGGCTTCCACGCCCTCCGCTCCTCACTGCCACCCTCTCCCTCATGACTACTGTTAACATGACCTCTGTCAGCGCCACTTTACCCGCCGTGTCGCATGCAATACTGCCCACGCCATGACTGTCCCCACCACTGCCACTAGCATCCCCTCCCAGCCCGTTTCCAGCCCCATCATCGCCACCATTACCAGAACCTTCACCACCCTCACCTCCTC